ACATAGGCCTTCCTTGTATTACCTTTCAGGTTTATGTAAAGAGAACCAAACATCAAGTGGCAGAAGTCAATATTCTAATAGGTGTGATTTTTTATGGGAATAATAATTGCTTAAGCTAAGAAAAACTATTGGTATCGAGTTATGAACCAGAAAAGGGTAGCATCAGTGAGAGTAGAAATCGTGAGGCATCAAACGGTCATTTTTGGCTACTGTTAGCATCAAATTGGTTACAATTTTAGCATGATATGTCAAAATATCCTTATCATGATTCGTCAGAGGTCTCAAAATAATTATCCATTACTGTTATTTTTGATAATTATTTAACGTGATTCGTCAAAATCAGTCGATTTTTGTTATTGTCATAAAGAAAATGTACATTTTATCGTCACGCACCAAAAATTACCATTAACATTATTTGGGAAGATTTGTTTACCGTTATTCATCATGAAGGTACCTCCATTACGATCCTCATCAGTCTGTAATTTTTTTAAATGCTGAATTCACACATCAATGGTTTCGGGTAAATCTTGACTCGTCTCAAAAAAAGTTTGGATATCAGACTGTTATATGTGCTAGTTATTTACAACCTTTGGTTCTTTGACAGTTTTTTATGCTATACTTTCATATCAATATGCAGTAAATCCTTACTCCAACCAACAAAGCAAGGTGAAAATTATGAAAACATAATCCTTGAAAAAATGAATATTTACAGAGTTTTTTTCCCTGATTGCAATATTGTAAATTCAGAAATTATTGCGATGTTTTTATTAATGTGAAAAATGTGACAGGATCATGTTCGCAATAATAAAACCTTCCATTCATAATTTTAGAAGTGATTTTCATTTATAAAATTTTTGCAATCACATTAATTAGCTATAGATTACGCTTTTTGCCACTGGTCAAATTTTCGCAATAATAAATACATGCATGAATTTCTGAATTACAGTATATAAAATTTTCACATAGCGGTTAAATTTGTGCATCAACAATAATTTTACTCTGCACATTATTATTGTTGCTTTCTATAAACTATTGGCACAATGGATTTTTTCTGCCATTTTGTGTGATCGCGTAACAAGTCAAAATAATACAGGCATGGCAATTTCCATGTTTACAGTGGACATAAGCATTCAACTTACCTATTACCGTAGCTATGTAGTATATTTTTCTACTGTTGACTTTTAAATCTGTTCCATGATTATAACCCACCAATAAACCTGCATTATATCAACAAAGATTGGGTAGATAAATATAGCAGCAATACACAATATATCTTTATGTAATACTCAATACATACACATTTGACTAATCTATTTTCAATATTTTTGCACTGTGGCCTTGATCTTTGACCTAATAATAATAAAGTCAAAGTTTGGCATTTTCTTTACAAGGGGTATTTTCCAGCAGTAAAGCAATTTCAAGCAAATTTGGTGAAGGTTGAACATATGGTTCAAAAGATTTCATCCTGAAACCACAATTTTGACCTAATTTCTGCCTATAACTTGCTGTTGTGACCTTAAGTCTGACATAGTGACCTCAAAATCTTTAGCAGTCTTAATCAACATTATCACAATAAGTTTAATAAAGACATTATTTATTGCTCAAAAGATTGTTCATAGACCGAAATTTTGTTGTCAGTATATATCAATACATCTGTTAACCTATATCGGGTTGAAAAAAATTTCTATACAAAGTCTGTAACTGTTTGAAAATTGAGTTGATATAGGAACCCTACAACACATACCAAAATTATCTTCTGTTTTGTATTGGAATGTTCCAAAATCAATCAAAGTCTTATACATGTATAGGTGCACTTGCATAACTTGTGTGGATTTCTATCCGACACAGCTCATATCTTATTATACCTTACATACATGATAAAAAATGCTATTGGGTACACAATATCAAGTGACATGGAATAATTCCTTGTATCGTTGATATTATTATACCTTATATATATTATAAACAATTCTATTGGTTAATACATTATCACGTGACATGGAATAATACAGGGTCAGACTTATAATCCGACAGTCCTGTAGTCCGACAATCTTATAATCCGACAATCCTATAGTCCGACAGCCCTATAATCCGATAGCCCAATAGTCCGACGCGCGGTCACATGTCTCTGAAAAATATGCCAATATAGACATGTAACGTTTGTAAATTGGTATATTTTTTACACAGAAAATTATCAAATCAGTCCGTATGACGCTTTGTACAGGGCCGCACTAATCCCATACGAACCGGAATTCAATCGGCAATCCTCGGATAAATCTGCTAATACCCTTGTACAAGGGAAATCCATACCTCAACACAAAGGCAGCCTCCCGCTAGAACATCGGGAAGACTGTTATTATGGTGGAAGAAGCCGAAGTACTTGAAGAGAACCAACGGCTGCCCGACGGGAACGGACAAACCGAAGAGTTCTCAGCAGATTTATTTCCAGGTTAAAGTTTGGGGCAACTTTGACCACCGAGGCCCCAATGTTAAACTCCGGTCTAGGTAACAGATATGTGAAAGGGAGGGTGAAATTCACCCTTCTGATTAATGAAATGTATCGCGCCCAGAGTCAGAATGGAACCCGGGACCTTCAACACTGCAGCCATCGGTGTTAACTACTATCTGCTTTGTATACTGTGTGTACCCATCTTCGTTCCGTTCTTTTTCACATAATTGGTTTCATGTCGTGATGATTCTATGACTAGGAATGCTTAAATCCATATTATAATTTACATAGAAGTGTTATCATCTATCAGCAAAAAGATCAGGTTTTGGCAATTAACCCAGAAAAAGACGAGATAGTACAGCAATTTATATTGCCATACAAAAGCAGTGTTAAGGTGTCATTTTGATGACAGAAAAATAGAAGCAATTTATTAAGATTTCACTCCAAATCCCAAACTATGAAACATCTTCTTGGATCCCGTTACAACGCATTCCACTTTTTCAATTTTAAACACTGCTCGCGTTTCGACAGTAAACTAATAAGCTTATATGAAGACGAGATCCACATCCTTTGCAACAGCACGGCTTCGTGTCGGACCAATAGACTGTCGGAGTAACGGACTGTTGGATTATCGGACCATCGGACTATTGGACCGTCGGACCTACCGACTGTCGGACTACTGGACTGTCGGAATTTCGGGGTGTCGGATTATAGCTTCGCTCCCGAATAATACAGTTAATTTTAATTTAAATGCAAGGATGGACATATAACCCTAAAATGTTACACCTTGTGATGTATAACCCTATTATATACTTGTGAATAACCTTTTGAGCTTCTTGATTTGTACACTAACTAAATCCCACCGAAATGATGTCAAAGATGTATGTAAACAAAATGGCAATAGTCGAGGTAGAAGCCCATAGAGTGACCAGGAAACAAGGATTAGAAATTTATCTAGTGCCGAGGATATCTCTCATAAATGGTATTTTTCAGGACCATCAATATTTTACAGAAAGAGTCTACCTTTGTTGTACATACGAGAAATTATAAGACACATTATAATTTTCTAAAGTGAGTGTTATTACAATCTGTTACTACAGTAAGGTTAGTGTTTATTCAATGGTTTAAAAGTCTCTTCCACTGTTAGTTTGATAATATAAAACAATTGCGGACCCTTAGAAGAGATGAATATCCAAAATTGTCAACCCTAAAAAGTTATTTCATTTCTGGTTGAGCTCTCAGTGAAATAATCTTTTCAGGTTTACAATTTTGGATATTCACCGTTTCTACAGGCCATAACTATATAATACTGCAACAGCAAACAAAAATATAAGTGGTCTATCATCATCAACACATACAAACGTTTTCTTAAATTGAGTGAATCAGAAAATGTTTTTTTTTTATGCAGAAAAAGGTAAACATATCTTCCCTGCCAGAACTTTGTCCAATGTGAGTCAAAAGTTGTTCAAACCAATGTTGGTGCTTGTTAAGATAGTAACATAATATGATTACTCATTGATCCTACCTGGAACTATCACATCTCCGAATCCCAACATGGAGGGTTGATTTAAACAGGAACTATACGGAGAATAATTCAGCTTTGGTACAACAAACACCATAGGTAGCCGAAAAATATATCAATATAAGTCATTGGATACTAATCTTAATTTTTCGTATGTACTTATCATCAGGTTTTGAATTGCAAAACAATATCAGCTGCCAGTCACAATTTGAAGATATTTGGTGAATGACTGCAGCTAACAAGTTTTGTGGATACTTTTTTACTTGTTAGGTACTTATTTTTGTGGCTTTCATCATTAAAGATGTCCCAATAATTTAAGTGCTCCACATGAAACAAATTAAGGCTTGTACGAAGAACTTGTCAAAACCATGATATCTTACACAAGTGAATTTTAAGCATTGCAGAATGCTAAAAGATAAATAGATCAGAACAGTTTTGACAGACATCTTAACAGAAGATGAACATTTATGACCCATTGACATATATCTATCCATTGGTATATTACCTCCTTGAAATAGCACCCCATGGATATATTTGACATTCCAAAAAAAAGTGACCCATACCAGCAGCAAGTCTGTGTATACCTTTTTATCTTACCTCCTATAGATTTCTGGGGATATGATTGATTAAAGGACTACACGTGGTGACTACATATATTTTATATAGGGTGTCCTAAAAAATATGGGGTTAGTTACCATATGGGGTTAGTAAGGAGTTACTTCCCTTTCAAAACAAAAAAGAAATCTGAAAAAAAAAGAACAGTAATAAAAAGGGTAATCCCAGTCAAGCTCAAATAACCTCATTCATGTCCGGTAATCAGAGCACACAAGAATCAACCAAAAAATCTCAAACTCCATCAAAACAACCTGTTAGTATTACATTTCTGAAGTCCCCAGTAACACCAACTGAGAAGCTTCACGACAAAGAGAGTGATTCTACTGCCAAGAGGTCCAAAACAACTGATACCTAATTATATACATACATGTAGTTAATTTACCTGTGTTTGTATAAGAATCAAAAACACAACAATATGAATATAATGATGTATTAAATTAATATTTTATTATCATTACAGGTATCATTTAACCACAATTCAAAAATTAATAGACCATAAAACTATAAGTCATCATTTAATTCTATATCACTCAATTATCAGTCTATATAATCACAACTAAATATCTCCTCTCTTATTAGCAATTTACAATCCTTTTGTAACTATGTACAATTTCTCACATCCAGTGGTAAGCAGCGTGTGCACAATCTCAACATCTTTAGATCTTTTCTTTATTATTAAAATTCTTTGTGTCTTTTTTTATCACTTATTGCAAAGCTGCATATGTACATTCACTTCACATATATGTTTTCAAAAAGCTTGTCGGAAACTAACTCTTTCCTATATAATTGTAATAAATCCTTCAATAGTTTTGGTTAAAGCGGATATGGGATTATCATCTGTGAATCCATACACCAAACCTCAAAAGGATAAAGTACACCTACAAAAATCAAAACATAGATCGATTATTATAATTGACACTAAAACATTCATAAGTCATACAATACAAATATTGATCATAAACATTCTAGTATTTCACTTAGCTTATCAAGTAGCCAACAATACTATGCAACATTGGCTCTGTAAATACCATGTAAATAATAGTCCAGTATGTATTTTTATAGTACATGTAAAAACATTTAACAATATTGTTTATATAGTGTTTAGTTTAAAGTCATGTTTTTTTTCTATTAATCATCTTTGTATATATTTTTCTATTGATTGTATTTGCATGTATGTATACAAACTTAATGAGTCCAAAATATTTTTTTTTGGACACAAAGGGGTCTGTATTTCAAGTCACATTGTTGACCCAATTCACGACCTATATATTGAGGTCAGTAACTGATATGTTGTGTAATGTTTGCACATTAATAATCATGATAATTATGGTTGTATATAGATGTACATATATAAAGAATTTAATATTGATAAAAATGTCATACAAAAAAAACCAACAAAGCAAGGATAAAGATAAAATCTTAAATTCAAATTCATGTAGATTTACAGGTTCAACTTACTTTCAAACTGAACAGAACTCCTTAATTATACTAGCTCACCTTCTTAATAATAATACAATATGATACATAAAAACTGTATCCATGTCTGCACCGTAAATACCAACGGGTTACAAAAATCTGAAAAAAGAAACAGAATTATTGAATGGGCTAATCAACAAAAATGTAATATAGTATTCCTACAAGAAACTCATTTTACTTACACCTTAGAATCAAAGTTAAAACAAGAATTCAAAGGTGAATTAATTTTAAATAATGGGTTAAGTAATGCAAGAGGGGTGGCTATATGGATAAAAAGCAGATTAAACTACAAGCTTATTGACCAATATAAAGACTCAGAAGGTAGATTCATACTAGTTAATATAGAAATAGATGACAATATATACACCTTAGTGAACCTATATGCACCTAATAATTGTAAAACAAGAAATACTTTTTTTTAAATCAGTAAAACAATTAATTGAAGATCAAAGTATTGGCCAGTTAATAATTGGGGGTGACTTCAATGACATATTATCTATAAAAGATACCAAGAAAAAATTAGGAAATAAAAAATTTGATAAACCAGTTCATAACCTCAAGACATTGATTAAGAATCTAAAACTAACCGATGTCTGGAGAGGCAAAAACATAAATAAAACCCAATTTACCTGGAGAAGAAAAAACTTTTCAGAATCTACAAGAATTGATTATTTTTTAGTAAGTGATGAAGTTAATAAAAATTGCATTTCATGCGACATAAGACCAATAGTACTTCAACACACTGATCATTACGCTGTTTCATTAAAAATCAACATAAATAGAAACTCAAAAGGGCGAGGTTACTGGAAATTAAACAGTAGCATCCTAGATGATAAACAATATCAAAAAATTATTTCAAAGTTGATTAATACATATAAAACAAAAGCAGAAACATCTCTAAACCTAGATATTTTATGGGATAATTTTAAAGTTGAGGTAAGGGATTATACCATTCAATACTGTAAATTAAAAGCAAATATTAAAAAAGATAATATTGAAATTTTAGAAAACACATTAAAAACATTATCTGCTGAAATAGATTGTGATAGCAATACACATGAGAGGAAAATTAACCTAAAAGAAAATATAGAAAAACAATTAGCAAGCTTATATAATGAAAAAATTAAAGGAAATCAAATAAGATCACGTGTGAAATGGCTAGAAGAAGGGGAGAAAAACACATCCTTTTTTCTTGGCCTAGAAAAAACAAGGCAAAGTAAAAAAACTATCTCTCAACTGTATGATGAAAATAAACAGGTAACATATGACCAAAACAAAATAATAAATCTAGAAGTTAATTATTATACTAAATTATATACTTCAACAAAACCTGACACAGAAGAGGTAAGAAAGTACATTGAAACTATTAAAGAATGTAAAAAAATTAATGAAAATGAAAGCAATATATGTGAAGGAAAAATTACTATAAGTGAATGCACAGAGGCTATATTTAAAATGAAACTGAACAAAGCCCCAGGTTTGGACGGACTAAATGTTGAGTTTTATAGAAAATTCTGGGAACAAATTAAAGATTTGATAGTACCCGTTTTCAATTATTGCTTTAAAAAAGGTGAATTAACCAACTCCCAAAAAATTGGAGCTATATCTCTTTTGTATAAAAAAAATGATCCACTCTCCCTTGATAACTATAGACCTATCACATTATTAAATTATGATGTTAAATTATTAGCCTATGCCTTAGCGCAAAGATTAAAATCAGTACTTCCAAAAATAATTCACTCTGATCAAAAAGGTTACATAAAAAACAGATACATAGGATTTAATATTAGACAAATCCAAGACATCATTGATTATTCTGAAAAATTTAAAGTAGATGGTGCAATTTTATTTTTAGACTTTACTAAAGCTTTCGACTCACTGGAGTGGTGTTTTATGTTTGAATCTTTAAAAAAATTTGGTTTTAAAAAGGAATTCATTAAATGGGTTGAAACTATGTATACAGATATAAAAGGGTGTATTTTAAATAATGGATGGGTGTCTGCCCCCTTTAATACATTCCGTGGGATTAGACAAGGGTGTCCGTTATCCTCGTTAATTTTCGTTTTATCTGTTGAAATAATGGCAATTAAATTAAGGGAAAATAACAAACTAAAAGGATTTGAAATCAAATTAGATGGAAAATCTTGCTCGCTAAAAATATGTCAGTTGGCAGACGATACTCAATTGATTTTAAAAACACGCAAAGAAATAAGTATAGCCCTTAACATTATTGAAACTTTTGGAAGCCTTTCTGGACTTAAATTGAATAGAAATAAAACAGAAGGTTTGTGGCTTGGGAAACTTAAACATTCAAAAGATAAATTTGAAAATATAAACTGGAAACAAGACCACATTAAAAGTCTAGGAATATATTTTGGATACAATTATCAAGAATGTCATAAATTAAATACAGAAAAGCAAATAGACAAATGTGAAAAATTAATTCAAGGATGGAACAAACGAAACTTAACATTAATAGGAAAGATAACTGTAGTTAAGTCTTTAATTTTACCAAACCTAACATACATTGCATCAAGTATGATAATAACACAGGAAATAAAGCAAAAGTTCAAGAATTTAATATATAATTTTATATGGAGTGGAAAAAAAGATAAAGTTAAACGTACTATATTATGTAAACCATATCTTGAGGGAGGATTACAAATGATTGATTTAGACTGCTATCTTAAATCATTACAAATCAGATGGGTTTTAAAACTAATCAAAAAGGAAAATGATAACTGGAAAATTATTCCAAGATTTTACCTTGATAAATTTGGGAAAGATTTTCTTTTATTCAGAATGAATTTAACAAATGTTAATTTGCTTAATAAAATAGATTATAAATCTTTACCTGAATTCTATAAACAATTAATTAAAACATGGGTAGAAATAAAAGGAGGCCAAACAATCATACCAAGAAACTTTCTTCAGGTTAGAAAACAACTTATATGGGGAAATCATCTTATCAAAGAAAATGGGAAATGTTTGTTCTTTCAAAACTGGATTAATAGTAATATTTTGTACATCAATAATATATTAGATGAAAACGGATACATCTCATCAGAAACTGTACTAAAAAATTTAAAGAATAAACAAGATTGGATTAGAGAATTTTCATTAGTTAAAAAAGCTATACCAAAGCACTGGCAAAATATTTTAAAACAAGAAAGCTCTTACAAAACTGTTGTCAATATAAAAACATCAGTGAAGTTAAATATACTACTAAAACATGAAATTTCACCAGATATGAGTAACAAAGAAGTATATACTTTCTTGCAAAGTCAATTTACACATGATAAACCGACAGGAGTTTTAATGTGGGAAAGAATTCTTCATAAAAAAATGACTACAAAATTGAAGTCCACATTTAACTTTATTTTTAACTACCTTGAAAACAACAAATTTAAAATGTTTAAATGGAAAATAATACATTATATATTAGCCTGTAATGAATTACTTTATAAATGGAAAATAGTACCAAGTGGTTTGTGCTTCTATTGTAAGCAACATGATGATTATAAACACTTCTTTTTTTCCTGTTCATATAATGTTCATTATTGGCATAAAGTTGACCAGCTATTAGCATTTTTAAAAATTGATAAGCATATACTTAGTCTTGAAAGTTTAGTAACTGGCTATAAAATTGATGATGAAGCTTATTTTGATATGAACTATCTATTAACTATAATTTTCTTTTCCATCTATAAAGCATATTATATGTCTGACAAGAAAGATAAGGTCATTGATATCTTCAAAATCTTCAAAAATGAAATCTGGGACATTATTAACATAAATAAAATCAGAAGCAAAAAAAACAAGAAAATAATACTTAAAACAAGGGAATATTTCGAATTCCTTTAAATGAAATGACAATTATTAGATACAAGTCTTAGCTGTGACCTCATTAATACATGACTGCACATGTGTCCAGTCAATTGGTGTGCATTAACTGAAATTCGCAATTTTACTCTTTTATAATTTATTACAGCTACACTGAATTAGAATTGTTATTAAATATGTTTATTCCTGTTCACAATGCAAAATTATAATCAGCAGGAGAGCGAGCAGAATACACAACACAATGCAACGTTACTGCATACATGTATAATTTGAAGACCACGTGTACTTTCGATCAACTTTCGATCTTCGGCTTTATCATAGAAATCAACATTTACTGTTAAAAAATAATGTGTGAAAAAAAAAACATTTTTACCTCATCATCCAAGACTTCTTATATAATTCAGTGTTGTAAACAAAACAAAAAGTTTTAAGTTCAAAATTCTATTGTCGACTGAAGAGTCATGCTATCAGTATCAAAGATCAATACATCATCAATTTCGCGGTTCAGTGAAGCTTTGATAAAAAAATCATATACAGTATAGGTTAAGAAACGTACCGTATTCCGGTAAAAAAACAAAAATTATGTAGAATTGTTCTAATGTATTGATCTGTATTAATATAACTTACTTTATAGATATACTTTATTGAATATCTTTCCCTAGATATTCAATAACTAATTTAAAGGGATACTTAATTGAAGCTGTAGATTGAGTAAATTGTTAACAGCAAAGGTGCAATAAAATTGATTAATTAAAAAAAAAAAAAAAAAAAAGAAATCTGAAAGGTTTCAACAGACGAAGACATTGATAATGAACGACTGAAATAAATTCATCAAACAAATTTTAAGCTAATAAGTTGTTATTGTTGGTGTTTGGTTTTTTTTGTATAGACAAATGGAAGTAGGTCCTTAATACTAAGAATTGAAGACATAATCACTTTGATAGGCCGCTAGTCTAAATACCACATATGAAGATAGTCGGTAAGATAAATTCTTTACACGGTGTGATAGTGATCTAATACGATATATATGGGGTAAGTAATTTCCATATCCTTCGCTCTCGCCCCATATGGAATTTATTAGGTCACTAACACACCATGTAACTAATAATATAGGAAGAGAACCCCCCCCCCCCCCACCAAGGTAACAATATGCACTTAATAAAATTGAGAATGGAAATGGGGAATGTGTCAAAGAGACAACAACCCGACCATAGAACAGACAACAGCAGAAGGTCACCAACAGGTCTTCAATGCAGCGAGAAATTCCCGCACCCGGAGGCGTCCTTCAGCTGGCCCCTAAACAAATATATATACTAGTTAAACATGTTTTTAGATTTATAATAAGAACCGTTCCAAACATACATGGGACTTCCAAATCTCAGCTATGGGTGGGTGTCAACTATATATGTTTTGTAAACTTAAAATGTAATTGTCATGATTGTATTGTTATAAATTAGGCCATTAGTTAGTTATCTTGTTTGAATTGTTTTTCATAAATTTTGTCATTTTCAGGCATTTTATAGCTATGATATGGTATGGGTTTGCTCATTGTTGAAGACCGTACAGTGACCTATAGTTGCTAACCTTGTACGTCATTTGGTCTCTGGTGGAGAGATGTATCTGCAAGCCTTGTTTTTCTTTGAGTTTCTAACGCTCACACAAATATATTTTATATTTTCAGATAATGCACATTTATCGGCTATTTGTAATTTTCCCTCTAATCTTACTGCCTATTATTTTTAAGATCATGGGCAGGACTTGATACTCAAAATAACTCCATTTAAGAATAAGTTTGTATGTGTTGATGATGATAGACCACTTATATTTTTGTTTGCTGTTGCAGTATTATAAAGTTATGGCCTGTAGAAACGGTGAATATCCAAAATTGTAAACCTGAAAAGATTATTTCACTGAGAGCTCAACCAGATATGAAATAACTTTTTAGGGTTGACAATTTTGGATATTCATCTCTTCTAAGGGTCCGCAATTGTTTTATATTATCAAACTAACAGTGGAAGAGACTTTTAAACCATTGAATAAACACTTACCTTACTGTAGTAACAGATTGTCAAAACACTCACTTTAGAAAATTATAATGTGTCGTATAATTTCTCGTATGTACAACAAAGGTAGATTCTTTCTGTAAAATATTGATGGTCCTGAAAAATACCATTTATGAGAGATATCCTCGGCACTAGATAAATTTCTAAGCCTTGTTTCCTGGTCGCTCTATGGGCTTCTAACTCGATTATTGCCATTTTGTTTACATACATCTTTGACATCATTTCGGTGGGATTTAGTTAGTGTACAAATCAAGAAGCTCAAAAGGTTATTCACAAGTATATAATAGGGTTATACATCACAAGGTGTAACATTTTAGGGTTATATGTCCATCCTTGCATTTAAATGAAAATTAACTGTATTATTCGGGAGCGTAGCTATAATCCGACACCACGAAATTCCGACAGTCCAGTAGTCCGACAGTCGGTAGGTCCGACGGTCCAATAGTCCGATGGTCCGATACTCCTTTAGTCCGTTAATCCGACATTCTGTTGGGTCGACACGAAGCCGTGCTGTTGCAAAGGATGTGGATCTCGTCTTCATATAAGCTTATTAGTATACTGTCGAAACGCGAGCAGTGTTTAAAATTGAAAAAGTGGAATGCGTTGTAATGGGATCCAAATTAAATCCTAGACTGTTTGACAAATTAATCTAGGATTCCATTCCTGTTCATCATGTCGAAGTTGATAACGAGAATGTCTGTTTACATGCATGCGTGTGCATGTAAAGTATTATGTTGTTGAATGTTAAATGTGACATGTATTAGGTGTATGCTTCTCATATCTGAGGGGCGTTAGCCTCGAAGATATGAGACGACTACATCGGATTTTTTTTTCTTTTCTTGTTCTTAAAAGAGCAATTTGTTTTGATAAAATATGAATGATGTCATTATCTCAAATTTTCTAGATGCAGTACCACTTTCAGAAGATGTTTCATAGTTTGGGATTTGGAGTGAAATCTTAATAAATTGCTTCTATTTTTCTGTCATTTAAATGACACCTTAAAACTGCTTTTGTATGGCAATATAAATTGCTGTACTGTCTCGTCTTTTTCTGGTTTAATTGCCAAAACCTGATCTTTTTGCTGATAAATGATAACACTTCTATGTAAATTATGATATGGACTTAAGCATTCCTAGTCATAGAATCATCACGACATGAAACCAATTATGTGAAAAAGAACGGAACGAAGATGGGCACACACAGTATACAAAGCAGATAGTAGTTAACACCGATGGCTGCAGTGTTGAAGGTCCCGGGTTCCATTCTGACTCTGGGCGCGATACATTTCATTAATCAGAAGGGTGAATTTCACCCTCCCTTTCACATATCTGTTACCTAGACCGGAGTTTAACATTGGGGCCTCGGTGGTCAAAGTTGCCCCAAACTTTAACCTGGAAATAAATCTGCTGAGAACTCTTCGGTTTGTCCGTTCCCGTCGAGCAGCCGTTGGTTCTCTACGAGTTCTTCGGCTTCTTCCACCATAATAACAGACTTCCCGATGTTCTAGCGGGAGGCTGCCTTTGTGTTGAGGTAGAGATTGCCCTTGTACAAGGGTATTAGCGGATTTATCCGAGGATTGCCGATTGAATTTAGCCCACTGCGTTCATTTCCGGTTCGTATGGGATTAGTGCGGCCCTGTACAAGACGTCATACTGACTGATTTGATAATTTTCTGTGTGAAAAAATATACCAATTTACAAACGTTACATGTTTATATTGGCATATTTTTCAGAGACATGTGACCGCGCCTAGACTATCGGGCTATCGGATTATAGGGCTGTCGGACTATAGGATTGTCGGATTATAAGATTGTCGGACTACAGGACTGTTGCATTATGGGACTGTCGGATTATAGGTCTGACCCTGTATTATTCCATGTCACGTGATAATGTATTAACCAATAGAATTGTTTATAATATATGTAAGGTATAATAATATCAATGATACAAGGAATTATTCCATGTCACTTGATATTGTGTACCCAATAGCATTTGTTATCATGTATGTAAGGTATAATAAGATATGAGCTGTGTCGGATAGAAATTCACCTTATGCAAGTGCACCTATACATGTATAAGACTTTGATTGATTTTGGAACATTCCAATACAAAACAGAAGATAATTTTGGTATGTATTGTAGGGTTCCTATATCAACTCAATTTTCAAATAGTTACAGACTTTGTATAGTGATTTTTTCAACCCGATATAGGTTAACAGATGTGTTGATATATACTGACAACAACATTTCGGTCTATGAACAATCTTTTCAGAAATTAGGTCAAAATTGTGGTTTCAGGATGAAATCTTTTGAACCATATGTTCAACCTTCACCAAATTTTGCTTGAAATTGCTTTACTGCTGGAAAATACCCCTTGTAAAGAAAATGCCAAACTTTTGACTTTATTATTATTAGGTCAAAGATCAAGGCCACTGTGCATAAGTATTGAAAATAGATTAACCAAATGTGTATGTATTAAGTATTACATAAAGATATATTGTGTATTGCTGTTATATTTATCTATCCAATCTTTGTTGATATATTGCAGGTTTATTGGTGGGTTATAATCATGGAATAGATTTAAAAGTCAACAGTAGAAAAATATACTACATAGCTACGGTAATAGGTAAATTGAATGCTTAAACATTGTAAACATGGAAAAGTTCATGCCTGTATAATTTGGACTTGTTTCGAGATCACACAAAATGTTAGAAAAAATCCATTGTGCCAATAGTTTATAGAAAGCAACAATAATAATGTGCGGAATAAAATTATTGTTGATGCACAAACTTAACCGTCCCCTTTTCCACAAATATGATCTACCGAATCAGACTTATCACCGGATTTGTACTAACATGAGAAACACGACGGGTGCCACATGTGGAGCAGGATCTGCTTACCTTTCAGGAGCACCAGAGATTGACCGCAAGTTTTGGTCGGGTTCGTGTTGCTCAGTATAAAGTTTTCTATGTTGTATTTTGTGTACTGTTGTTTGTCTGTTTGTCTTTTTTTTTAGTCATGGCGTTGTTAGTTTATTCTCGACCTATGAGTTTGAATGTCTCTTTTGTATCTCTCACCTCACTTTAACTACGCAGTTTATAAAATTAATACAATACTTAACTGTCAAGTGTAAATGTGTCCCGACCATAATTCTTAAATATAGTAACAACATCGGTGAAATAATAGTGATTTCATGAGTGCATCATAACTGAAACACACCTATAACGTTATATAAGCATACCAAGGTCATTAAAGTTATAAAAAAAATGGTCACTTGTTACTGATTACATATTCATATTGTCAAAAAGTACGCCGTCAAAAATGAGAAAAATCCATATCGTAAAGTCGGCTATAAAAGGCGCCGAAATGAAAATTATGAAACAATTCATTTTAAAAAAAACTAACGGCCTAATTTATAACAAAACAATTTACGAAAAACGCATATGACAGACATGAACTAACGACAACCAACGAACGTCAGACTCCTGACTTGAGACACGCACATATGGAATGTGGCGGGGTTTAACATGTTTGACGACGCCAACCCTTCTCTAATCTGGGACATTGGTATAACAGTACAAAAAAAGAAGTATGAAAATCAGTTTAAAAGGGCTTTACTCATCAGATCGACACAAAGCAGAAAAATATCCTACAAAAAGACAGACCGGACGTGGCGGTCTATTTATAAATTCCTAAAAACAAACAAAAAAGACACAAACTACAGATCTGATAG